TTTGCCATAGATGCTAAAGCCCTACCAAAGTATCCCAAGGCTCTGTGGATCAGATTCACAGTTTCTCTGTGAAGGACAGTAGGCATGGGCATGATTTTCCAAAAATTACACAATTATTCTCTAGCAGTTTAAGATTGGGTTTCAAGACTCATTATTCCCCATCAGTGCTCTTTGCACTACCATTTATTTAAAATTTGTGCCATTGTTTCTTTTTATTGTATATATGTCCTTGATACTCTTGGCCTGACTTAGGACGTAGTATACTTTCTTGGTGTATTTGACTTGTTCTCTTCATTATCCTAGCATTGAGAAAAGGGTCAGGAGAGGGAAAAGAGCTCCAGCATGAGCAACTGTGGCATTTCTCTCTAGGGTGAGGACATGAGCATGAGGAGTGGGCTGGCAGCAGATCTGCAGGAAGATGACTTGTGAGCATAGGGTATCATGGGCACCTTGGATGGAGGATACCTGAGTGTACTTGCACTCTCTTGCCCCTGATCCTGAAATCATCATGCCACTGTCCCCAGAGGAAAAAACATGGTTCCTAGAATTAAGTAGACTTGAATTTGAATCTTATTAGTTGTGTGACTTCAGCAAGATACTATCATTTCGATTCCCAGTTTTTACCCTTATAATATGAATATAATAATAACTACTACCCTTATAATATGAATATAATAATATGAATATAATAATAACACCTGACATGGTGTTATGTAATGGAATGCTGCCTTTGGAAGCCACTTTGTAGTCTATCAGCCCAAGGTTCAAGTAATATTCTACCACCTGTAGCTTTATTAACTTCAAATCTTTAAATTTTTTTAACTGTAAAGGGAAGTAATGGTTAAAAGTGTAGATTTGGATTGCTGCATACAGTACTGGGGCTTGAACTCTGGGCCTTCACCTTGAGTCACTCCACCAGCCCTATTTTTGTGAAGGGTTTTTCAAGATAGGGTCTCACAAAATATTTGCCCAGGCTGACTTCAAATCGAGATCCTCCTGATCTCTGCTTCCTGAGTAGTTAGGATTATAGGCATGAGCCACTGGTGCCCAGCCACACTGTTCTTGTTTGAATCCTATTTCTGCTCTTATCTACCCATGTAGTCTTGGTAGAGATGACTAACCTCTTTGTTCTTGGTGATATTCTCTATGAAATAGGGAAGATAATAGTTGGTGATTTTTAAAGTCACTTTGAGAATTAAATTAATAAATATTCCTAGAATAAGCCCAACCCTTTGTCAAAACCATGGAGGTATTTGTTAAAGCAAAAAACAAATACATATCACAGGTTTGTGGTGGAGATTATTTTGCTGGGAATATAAAGATTTGCAGGCAGTTCTCTTGATAATGGTAAGTAATCAATAGCCATGAGCTACCATTGCATAATTAATATTGGGTATATTGTTTTCATTGTTACCACAATTATCACTCATAAAGGTAGAGTGAACTTGTATTGAGGTCCTACAAAAATTGTAGGCACAATTTTGGGAAACTAATTTTCTTCATCACCTTTTGGAATTTTTAAGACTTAAACTGGTCCACCCACATGCTCTCTATATGCATGTTGTGACTTGTTTTCCTATAAGTAGCTAGAAGCTGCTGGGTTTTCTCCCTGTCCTGAGACTCTTGCCAGAGGTAAACATTGGATAGGAGTGTGACCTTGGCTCCTAAGTCAATTTTTCCTTAACCTCCTAATCAGACTCCTACAAAGCAGTTGCTTGTTCAGGGCACAGAAAGGACACTGTTGCAATTTAACTCTGGAGCTCTTTGCAGTACAATATATTTCTTTAGATAGAAACATATATCCCATCTAGAGGATATAGCAGGGAAAAAAGATCTTTTCTAAGAAACTTCTTGCCTTTGCTAATGCATTAGTGATGCTGATTATTATTTAAAATTAACGTTCACTGTTTTCATATTGCACTTATAGAGAAACAAAATATGCATCCAGAAATAACTATAGATACCTTTGAAATCTCAAAATGGGATACATTGGTATAAATTTTGGAGAAAATGATAAATATTTTAATAAAACTGACTTACTTGATCTATCTATATTATTTAGAGTTATTGTTCCTGAATTTTACTTCTAAATATAACATGGAATTAAGATAGTTCTGTGAAATTTACTTCAGTTTGTGCTAATGCTGGTTGCATTTAATGCCCAAAGGTAGGACTTTGGGGAGTTATTCAGATTGTGGAATAGGGTCTGCTTAGCACTTAAGTGAAGGCTTGAGTTTAAGAAACTCAACTATGGAAACCTTGAGTGGGAAAGTTGCTGTCACAGCACTTTGTATGAAAGGACTTGGGGTTTTAGTTGATGAGAAAGTCAGTGTGAACATTAGGGAGTATTTCTAGTTGTGCATAGCCCAGATCAAAGCAGGTGATGATGTCATTGTGCTTTGTGTTAGACCACAGTGCACAAGTGCCTTGTATTGAATAGATTCATTTGATCATGCCCACAGAATGATGACCAAAATGCAGAAGTGTCTAGAAAGAAGAATAAGGATGAATCCTTTTTTCAGTAGGAATTCATAGTCTAGGTGGGAGACAGGTATAAAGGAAGAATGCTTGACCTGAAAAAGAAAAAAAAAAAAGATTTGGGGGAATATCATTGCTGTTTTCAAATGTTTGTGAGATGAGCAGATTTTTCTGGGAGCTAGAGCACTTCACTGGAATAGCATTATTGGCTGAGGTCCAAGGCTAAGGGGAGAAGTATTGCTTATAAAATCTGGCTAGTAGTTTTATCACTCATAAGCTGCCCTCCCCTCCCTCTCCAGACTCCCAGGAAGACCCAAAGCACTTGAGGCTGAAGAATAAGGACTGCCAGGGCTAGATTGCTCATTTGATGCTTGCTTACAATCACTTCCACTGTCCTTCCTCTCCCTGCCAGCACCATGTGGCTCCAAGGCTTGTAGCATCAAACTTCTGCTATCATGACCAGCTGGTCAGGAAGTAAAGAACACCTGGTATACTCTCTGCAATGCTTCTTAAATTGCAGTGTGCACATGAATCATCAGGGGTGTTGTTCAAATGCAGATTCTGTTTTAAGACCTATTGGGTGGGGCCCAGTAATCTGATGCTGCTGCTGGTCTGTAGACTACATTTGCTAGTTAGTTTTTTTTTGTCACCAAATACCTGAGAGAAAAAATTTAAAATGAGGAAGAATTTATTTTTGTTCATAGTTTCAGAGGTTTGAGTCCATGCTCAACTGTGTCTTTTGCTGTGGGCCTGTGGTGAGAAAGACACCATGACAGTGAAAGCATGTGACAGAGGAGGCTACTGACCTTAGAAAGGCAGAGAAGAAGAGGGTGGGGACAAGGTATATCTCTCCAGAGCTTGTCCCAAGTGACTACTTCCTTCAAATAGGTCCTACCTCCCAACAGTGCCCTCATATTATGAATTCATCAAGGATTCTGTTAATTAGGTCAGAGATTGGATTCTCCATCTCTGGAGACTACGCCTTCAACACATGAATCTTTAATAGGGAAACACTTCATATTAAAACCATAATACCACTTCTGGGTGACAAGACTCTACTACAAATCATGAGTCTTCCCCACAGGCTATTGCTAAATCCCATCTGATCAATGACACCTCCTCCAAGTTGCCATCAGGACTAAGGTTTGCATCCCTATTATCAGAGGGGTACTTCCTGGAAACTTTACCTTATTCCCCTCTCAGTACTTATGAAACCATTCTGTAATTGTTAATGTCACTGAGCCATCCAGTGCTTTTGTCATCCCTAGGGACAGTTCAGCAGCTACCCAACACATTTTCCTCCTAAAACACATCATCTTGAATTTCATCTAAATTGTTTGCAATAAAGTACTTTTTAAATATACATGATACTGTCAGAACCTTTACCCTAAGATACAAATAGCCACCTGTGTAACATTAGGGAAGATTTTTTTTTTCTCATAGCAATGTATTTGTGGTTACTACAAGGTAATTACTTACTCCAATGCTTTGTAAAGTGATCTTTAAATGATCTACTTATAATGCATTAAGCACTTGCTCAATGAGGCCATAACCCCAGGAATAAAGATTGAATCTGGTTAAATGTATTTACCTCCCTTCTTAATGATTCCATCAGTGAGTTTCTACGAGTATTTCTAATTGTCATTGATTGAAGTCCTTTCAAGGTCATGTCCCCTCTCCCATGAGTCACTTAGTGGTCAAAAATAAAGTAATTGAGAGTTTCTCATGACGTGTGATTCTTGGTAAGGTCTCAAATATAAGATCATGGTGCTTTTCTGTAGCAGAACCGTGGGGTCTTGTGCAAAGCATTTAACATCTGTGATCATGTGTAAACCCATCTGTAAAATAAGAATAATAATATCTACTTTAAGATACAATGCTTATGGAAGAACTTGTCATGTTCCTGGCATGTGACAGTCACTTGTTCAATGGCATATTCTCTTGTCTCTCCTTTGTTTCTCTTAGGCCACTTTCTACATTTTAATTGCTTCTTCTGTAGTCTCAAAACATCTTGAGAAATGGACCAATATTTTAAATCTTTTTCATTCTTTCACTATATGTTCAGGAAACACATATTCAATGAATTAATGAGTGACCAGATAATTTTTAAGTTATCCTTGACTTTTAAGTTCTATGATTGATTCTTCCCATGTGCTAATTCCATAGAAGAAATTGGGGGAATTTCCTTAAAATAAATGTTAAGGTATTTCTTCCCTTGTGGTCTTATAAAACATGTATTATATTAATTATTACTAGTAAGCAAGTACTCAGACCAAGGAGCTGGATGCTATGGTATAAATGACCTTTTTGATTTAGGTCTTATTTGTGCCAATTGTACTGATTGCAAATAAGGTGAGTCAGTGGCTGGTCTTGAGTCTCTGCTTCCCTTGAACTATTTTCTTGGGAAGAATCCTCATCAAAGATGAGTAAGGAATGTGTATTTGTTCTCCAACATGAGATTTGGGAGTCATGCATAATAGAAGCTGGGTCTCATGGTATATTCATTTCAGTCCTCATAGAAGATGCATTTTGTATTTGAGATTAAATACAGTCAGCTAGTGGGATCAGGCCAACTCAGTGGGTTAGAGGAGAAGCAGCAGGTCCTTCCAAATCTGGGGATTAAACTGGTTGGTCACCTGTAAGTGAGTAGTTCTTGAGTTGTATGAATGCATTGCTGGAGGTTAGTACCAGTTGTGGTTATCCTTAGTGCTACTCGAGGACGTCCTCTGGTGCTGCTAGGCTATCAATACACTGCTAAAAAGTGCAAAATTTAGACGTGGGTTTAAATCCTTTCTTGAGTATATTATGTAATCCTGGAATCTCCATTTTTCATCTGTATTTTAATTTTACTTTTTTGGTGGTATTAGAGTTTGAAGTCAGGGTCTGCACTTAGTAAGCAGGTGTTCTACCACTTAAGCCTTTCCACCAGTCATTTTTTACTTTCATTATTTTTCTGATAGTGTCTTGTGTTTTTGTCTGGGGCTGACCTTGTATTGAGATCTTCCTACCTATGTCTCCCAGTAGCTGGGATGACAAGTACACAGCATGACAAACTTTTTTGTTGAGGCGGATTCTCACTGACTTTCTACCCAGGCTGGCTTCCAACAACAACCTGATCTCTGTCTCCCAGTAGCTGAGATTACAGGCTTGTACTACAACGTCTGGCCCACCCATTTAAAATCTTTAAAATGGAATAATAATATCAGTTGGTTTTTTGTTTTTAAAATTGGCAAATTAGATAGTTTATGTGACATCTAGTGCAATGTCTGGCAGTGAGGTTAAGCTCAATGTTAATGCAATGCTGACTATGCATTTCAGAAGAGGCATGGGAGATGAAATCCTTCTACTAATTAAGAAAATACCAGCCCTAGACACTCTGAGGAGTACCTCCAAATTACTTACTAAACTCTGTGACTAAAGTCAGACTACAGTGGTGGCATTAATAGTTTCTCGTGAGTCTGGAAGCATGATAATAATCTTAGAAAAGGAAAACCCAATTGTATGTTTCATTATGTGATAATTTGAAATACTGATTCATATGAGTGGCTCCAACCTTTTCTTTCCTACTCATCATCTAGGAATTGTTCAGTTATAGCTTTTTGTTTGGGAGGAAGAAAAAAAGAGTTAACTAATCTCTTTGTTCTTGTAATTTATTTCAATCCCTGATGTCCAATATGACTTTTATTTCTCATTAATTCTTAAAAGTGAAAATGGCAGTTCTAAAAATAAACATTAATAAATCCTTTCCACATGAATGGCCTTTTTTAGTCAACAGACAGAAGGTTCTGAACTGTACTTTTAAGTATTTAAGAGACACAGCACCAGTGTTGCTAATTAGCTTGTGGCTTTTTACCTCACAGTGGATCAATTGATCTCCATTTCAGAGGTTCAAGGTGTTGCCATGAGGGCTCTCAGACAATAGGTGAATTGGGTTTCATACAGTACAATTGATTTCAGGTCATGGGTCTTTGTGTTGTGTTGAGATAATTTTAGATTCTGAGAAACCTGGTAGTAAGGGAATAGGGATTGATGATAGCTATGATAGCCAAAATGCAAATAAAACAAATTTTTGTTCCTTACATACAGCTATTTTGAACTGGAGAGCAGTGGCCTGAGGGATGAGATTCGATATCACTATATACATAATGGGAAGCCCAGGACAGAGGCACTTCCATACCGAATGGCAGACGGACAGTGGCACAAAGTTGCACTATCAGTTAGTGCCTCTCATCTCCTGCTCCACGTCGACTGCAATAGGTATGTCTTTGTCTTTGATCTTCAGTCATTCTGACCTTGAAATCATGCAATAGGAAGGGGAACAAAATCAACTCCCTCCCAGACTTGCTACAAATAAGAAACCAAGGGACTTTAATTTTAATTTAACCTACCAAATGGGCCATTAGGTGTGCTGAAATGACCAACTGCAATATGATAAGTAAACAGTTCATTAAGATGAAACTCTATCCTGTGATTAGGAACAAATGCACAAAAGGTTCATTACTGATTGGGGAATATTAAGTATACCTCAGTGTGCTCTAGGCACTGGTTGAAATTCCATGGAGCAGTGACCACAGTTAACTGTGATATATTGTTGTTGAGTTCGTTCCACTTGGAAGAGAATAAGCCAGTCTACCTTAGAATGAATCTGCAAAGCCTGTGCTACTGAAGTGGCTAATTCTATTTTACTTCATCAAGTGTGCTCGGCTTAAATGTCTTTTCCAAACGGAGCCTTCTTAGAGGCTATTCTTTGAATCTTTTGGAATTTATGTGATTCATTCTTTGCAAAGGGATGAGCTTGCCAGCTTGTCAGGGGACAGCAGGACTGTGTGTGAGGTCTGGGTTCACAGGAGGTGTGGGGGTGGGGAGGACGAGACATTGTCCTCCATGTCTGTCACTGGAGGCAGCTTTATCGACAGCTGAGGGGGGAGGGGAACATGGGTCTCTACTGGATTATTAGTGGCTGGACAGCGGGGTAATAGTGGTCAAGGGGTATATTTTGATCTCTCCAGAACCCACTGAAAATCTTTTTGGATAGTGATCCGAGTCTAATTATAGAGTTTTTTTTTTTTTTTCATTTTGAGCGGTGCCCATGCATTGTTGATTTCATTAATGATGCCATCAAAATTAAAAGGACTGTTAAGCCACAGGGCTCACTCCCTGGGGTCCAGGGTAAAGAACAGGCATGTTGGAGATAAGCCTCCCTTCCAGAATCTATCAAGAGGAAGGATCTTCCAAGGTCAGTCAGTAACAGACTACACATCTATTGGGAAGATTCTTTAATGTGCTTGTCACTGCAGCTCTGAAATCTCCTTTAGAAGGCTTGGAAGGGCAGGAAACTTGTGTCAGGCTCAAGGTCTGCCATGTTTAAATGAGTATTGTTCCATTTTGATGTGATCTATTTAAGATGCTTTCTAGACTTACGAAATACTGTGGCTTCAGCTAGATATAATATGTATGTCTGGACAGGGTTTCCATAGAAACTACCAGCTCCTTTTTGTCCTTACAGACCTGGGCTAGGAGCCCAGATGGAGCTAGCCCTTAGTTGTCTCCATTTTCACCTTGAAAAACTCATTGGTGACCTGTTAGGTAGCACTTGTGTTCCCTGTGACATGCCACCCATATGCTGTCCAAATGAGACTGCAGTGGAAGGGAACTGTTTGTTTTCCTAAACCATAGGCTAAAAAGAGACCTCAAACCCCTAGATTAGTTATTCCTAAGGAAAAAATCTGAGACACTACTGTTTTTCTTGCTATGTATTGTTTTGTTTCTTTCTTCCAAGAGTTTTGTTATTTCTTGACATTTTTTTCCTTTGGAGGAGAGAAAAAAGAGACCTGTCTCTGCTATGTTAGCATTTTATGCTTTCACAAATTCTCTGGTCTCTATGAAGCAGTCTCTTTTGCCATCCTCAGTCACTTGTTAGCTGTGTGAACTTAGGCAGGTTAATTTCTTTTCATCTTCTTTTCTTCATTAGAGTAATGGGAATAAACAGAAATGCATAATTACTAATTATGCATCACATAATGACATTTTGCACAATGACAGGTAGCATATATAATAGTTGTTCTATTAGATGTATCACTAGTGACACTGTAGCCTTCTAAGTTTGTGTAAGTGCACTCTATGATGTTGAAGCAATGATGAAATCACCTAATGCACTTGTCAGCACATATTCCCGTCATCAAGCACCACATAACTTACATATTTATAAATGGGACTGTTAGTTGAAACATTCCTTGTCATGCTTAGGCATTTTGTGCTCAATATACGTTTGTGATTGTTGGTATGTATTCTGCACCTATCTGGTGCCTCTTTGACCTTTCCCCCAAAATTTCATCTGCTTTATGCCCTTCGTGGTTACCATGGTCTCCTCATCGGGAAAGTGGGAGATGTAAGAGCTGTAGCTTTAGGGTTGGCCCCATAGATAAGAATGGGTGGAAGGGATTCTATATATTCCTTTTCTTCTCTTGACATTTCTCCCATTTGGACTTACAGAATTACATTTCTTTATGTAAGATCTTGGAGAAAGAAACGTGAAGTTGCAGGTTAATGACTCGAAGACACAAAAAACAAATTTTTCTCTTAAGTTGGGGGAAAAAGACCCTGAAAGACTAAGCCATAATAAAGATAAATTTTGTTTTTTGGTTAGGAAAATTCTAGAAACATGGCTCCCAAATATGACTATTCATGAGAACTACCTGGGAATTTATAAACAATAAAGGTTAGCAAGACTCATTTCTGACCTACTGGATCAGATTCCCTGAAAAACTGTCTTTTGAATTCTAATTGACTATAATTTAATATATATATGTATCAGGTATGGCATGATAGTTCAATAAGTATAGTACATAATGTCTAATCAACAAATCAGGATGATCAGCATTTTATTTCCTCAAACACTTATTATTTCTATGTATTGAGAACACTGGGACTCTTATTGTTTTTTTAAAATATATATTAAGTTGTTATAGACTATAATTAGCCTACTTTGCTATAGAATATCAGAACTAATTCCTCCTATCCACTCATTATCTAACCTTTCTTTCTCCTTTTTCCTCCAGCTCTTCCTAGCTTCCAGTAACCTCTGTTCTTATATTCTATGAGTTCAACTCTTTTAGCCTCCACAAAGGAGTGAGAATGTGCAATATTTGTCTTGTTGTGCCTGGCTTATTTCACTTAACATGGGATCCTTCAGTTCAATCCCTGTTGTTACAAATGAATTATCTTTGTGTGTTATTGGGAATTTGAACTCAGTGCCTTGCTAGGCACATACTTAGCCACCTGAGACATTCCCCAAGCCCTTGTATACTTTTAGTTATTTTTCAGATAGGGTGTTGCACTTTTTGTCCAGGACAAAACCTCAATCCTCCCATCTCCTCCCACAAACCTGGAATTTTAGGTGTATACCACCACACTGGCTCTATGTATATATTTTTAATGTATACTCCATATAGTTTTTATGTAGGCAGTCTTGCCTTGATACATGGACTGGCATTTAAAGACCACTGGTTTAGACAGAGAGGAAGGAAGCTGATAGAGAAGCCAAGCTATAAATAAATAAATAAATAAACGAGGGCTTGGGAAATCAAGTACATAAAGCAAAGCCCTGGAAAGGAAAAGGAAAGGCTTAAGAAGAGCGGGGTGTCTAGTACACAAGATAAACTTACCCTTTTAACAAATTTCTTCCCAGTCAGAACTAGCTGACCGAGGGTAGCAGAAGCTCTGTTGGATGCGTGATGATGTTGGTTTACCACCCCTTATCTAGGTCACTCTCATGGAGAGAGAAATTCACAAAGGGTTATTTTCACTCTCTCAGCTTCAGAGCTTTATACCACCTTGAGGTTTTTAATTTTTATTTTTTATCTTTCTTACCCTTCTTTTTCTCAAGCTATCTCCCACTGGAGTCCTGCTGATTAGATGGTGAATAGAGATGATGATAGGTAACATTTATTGTATATTGACTGTGTTTGGCACTTTACATAGATTAACTAACTCCATACTTGTGCTGTGTTTTTCTACTTTTAAGATAAAGGAATCTAACATTATTTGCCTATAATTCTGCTATTTATACGTGACAGCCTAGGATCTGAACCAAAGTCTGACTCATGAGTGCCTGCTTCTAACTACTTGGTTATTCGACCCAACTGTGAGGATCACTGTTACTAGATTTGGAAACTGAAGTAGTTTGAGAGCCTGTCTCATGAGAAGTCTACTACTTTCCAGTATTTTCCTTTCACATGTCTTCTATTACTGATCCCTGGAGTTAGCTGGAAAGATGTGGAATCCAATTAATGGAACCTATTGTATTGGTATGGGTGAAGGGACCTACATTTACTGAACATCGACTGTAGACTAGGTCATATGCTGGGCTTAATATTCCTTGGGACAGCAACATAGTGACAGTTTTGTTAGGTCTATTTCAAAGATTTGAAAGTAAAAAGGCTCAGAGAAGGTAACTAGGTTTTAATCACATAGTATAATAAACAGAGAAATAGAACTTTGAGCTGGGACCTACTTTGCAAACTTTTTCTTATCTGCTTTACAAACCTTAGTTCATACTACCTCCAAAGTGTGCTATCAGTGTGTACTGATGAAGATAGTCACAGCATACCAGGGAGTCTTTCCAGGGGAGAGATGCTACAGAAGGTCATAACACATCTAAAATCAAGAAGAAAAGATTTCCCAGGCAATCCCATTACTCCAAAGCATTTTACTGCAGCAAACTTTCCCACCTTTTTTTTAAAGGTTAGAATTGAGAAACAGTTTTTTCTGACCTAATTGCACAAATTGTCACAATAAAAGCAACTGCTATTTTAGTCAGAAGTTCAACACTTTCTGTTTGCTGCTGAAACTTACACTTTTTTTCTTGCTTCAGCTGTTTAACTGGGTTTAGTGAGAAGCTCCTGTGTATGGGTAACAGATTACCTTGAGCTAGAAATATGAAAGGATCCATTCACCTGGGCAGTCAGGTTGATGATCTCCATTGCCTTGGGTTTTTCTCTAGCTGCCTTTTATATTAATTGTTGCCACTGAAGCTTAGAATGAGGCCTGAACTCTGATTCTCCCTCTCCATTCTTAGCTCACTTGGCAGCCTGTCTCCATTACTCAAAGGCAGAATTCACCAACACTTGAGATTAAGATAAGTGATCTTTCCCATTCAACACAAATGGATTTTCTTCTCTTTATTTGGTAACTTTTAATTTCCAATCAGCCCATCAAGTTAATTTTATTGGGCATACTTGTCTTTGCCAGGCTGTGAA